CGGCTCTATTAAAAGGAACAATTAACAACCTTTTGATTATTTGCATTTGATAAATTTCAGGCTTTTTAAGATTGAAAATTGATAGAGGTGATCCTTGAATTTGTTCACCGTCAATCATTTTAGTTATTCAGTGAAAAATCTCTGTTAAATAGAAAGCAAGTGAAGAGGTTGATTGGACAAAAATACCTTAATATAATGGAGATTTCTCAGGAAATGACTAAAATGAATGACGGTATACAAACTCAGGAGCCGTTTCTATCGAATTTCAACCAAAGTAAAGAGTTTTGCCAATCTCATAAACTATTTTGGCTAAAAAACCTAAACTCCACTTGCATTTGATGAAAGTATGCTTTAATCCATCAAGGAGGAATATTTAAATTGACAAAACCAAGACCTACTTGATAAATGTAAGAGATATTCAATGAGTGAAATTAAGGGTACCATAAGGCATATGTTGATTTGATCACAAACATTATGCTTTTCTTTTTTTCCAAGAAATACAAATATACTTGACTTTCCAATCTTTACAACTTTGATTAAAATAAACCCAAAACATACATGTCCAAAAGCTATTTGACATAATTTAATCTTATTGGGAATGAATGCCAGTAGTGACAAGAGTGCATGTTTTCCTGAATGTCAAAGATAACTTAAAATAGCAAATAATTATTGGTGAAACTTTGATGAAGAAAATCTCACTACTATAATTGTTAAACAGAATCACAAAAGATTGTGTTTTAAGTAAAAAATGCTTGGTCAACATCACTCACCAAAAACTGTCTATAATCTTTTATTTATTATTCGTAAGTGAACAGTTTCATATTTGATTCTTATGACCGACGAGTTTGATATCTTAATATAATTACTTACCAAATAATTTAGCTAAAATCTCAACTCTAATGCACATTGAAATAAGAAAAATACTTGGCTTGTAAGTCAATTGAGTGTATGCTTTAAGTTTCTGTTTATTGCATAACAAAAATTTCCTCTTGTTTTAAGAGCCAAACAGAGTTCTACAAGTAATTTGATATTGATTAATTTGCCCATAAAACTATCATTTAGTATCACTTTACGTGAAATTAGTTTTAACTCACTTTGTCCTATGAAATTGTCATTTTTGGCCATTTTTGTCTCATTTAGATTAATGGTAGTATCGACATTTTATTCTTGACACAATTTTTGCTTGCTAAAACAATTGTGGATTGATGCGTAGATGTAATTGCAGTCATGAGATTCAGCGTGTGGCTTGAATTAGATTTTGAAGCACAACCCATTATTTACTTTTAAAACAGAACTCACGAGAAAATATGCCCGCGCGTTGCTGCGGGACTTGAATGTATTAGTTGCAACAGGCATGAATAGTTTCCACACAAAGCAACTAAAAAGACGTAGCACCCAAGAATCAATGAACAATTGAGACATCTTACTCGTATGTGAGAGTCAATCCCTATTGAACAAAAGTCCAATTTCTTCTTCAAACTGAACTGACATCATTGATCAAGCAATTAAACATTCCTATTGGCAAATAATTGACCCAAGAGTTGAGCAGATATATAGGGATTGGACAAAGGGGACGTAATTAAACTACATAATTTAACAAAAGTAAAGGTCAATACAACTCTTCGAATTAAACTATATATCTAATTTACCAGAAAACTTTGTAAAAGTGACAGTTTACCTAATATGAGCACTTAATTTTCCTATTTAAAACAGTTTACTCATTTTTGATAGGTAAAATATAGCTTAAGCTTAATTTATTAACAGCTTAATGCAGTTCAAAAGTATTTTCTGTAGTGGCGAGAAGGAGAAGCTACAGCTAACCCGCCTTAACTTTTAACTTTTTCCAGATGCATATGTACAGTTTACCTGCACCCTCATACCATGTGTCTTGAGCTGTTATCTATCATCCACTTGCAGCATTTTCGTTCTTCTTCATGGGAACCTCGACAGCAAACAATTTCATCTGTTACTGGTTAATGGAGATGTCTTCTGCACGACTGGACTACAAAGAGGGAGAAAAACAGTATTAGGAAAACACATTATACTCAAAATCATCACCAAAGATATTTTCAAACAAATCACAATCCATTACACAAAGTGCATCCAACTCCAAGCCAAGAATACAGATAAACCCTCACCCAAGCAGTAACCAGTTCTTTTGAACTGCGCATCTGTAAAACACATGAGTACGGATATATTAAAGAGAGCAACAACACTAAATTTCTAACATCACCGGCATTCACAACATTAAGCATGTAGGGAAACTATTTCATTTCATTTTAATTTTTGGTGACACAACTGATGCAAGAAAGGGTCGAGCAAGTAACATGGCATCAAGAATAAAGGAAGATATTTAGGATGGAACTATTAAAAGTTTCTGTAAACCATTAAATTTATGCTTAGTGAGTATACCAGAAGATCTGCGTGCAACAAAAGTATGGCAACCAGGGGTCTGGTTGGCTGGAGAACTCTGGAGACACAAAAATCTCAGGGGTCTGTGAGTATACCAGAAAATATCAGTCCAAGGTCTCAAGTTCTTAGAGTGGGGAATTACTGATTAGAACAGTTTGTCATCAAAAAAATATATTGGAGAATCAAATTGAAAAATCCAACATAACCCAAATTTACATTAACAGATAAGCAGGTGCTACAATATAGAAAAAGAGAGCCAAGAACGGAATTTTACTTTATGCTGATAACTATCTGAGAACGAAACAAAGACCAACTGGAATGCAAAAAATAATGAAGTGAAATAAGCATATGGAAGTGTTATATATAATGAAGTGAAATTATCCACTATGGTTGATTTGACATATGGATAATTTCATCTAAGAAAGAAAAATAAGCATATGGAAGTGTTATATATATATATGTAGTTTTTGTTCCAATTTGTTGTGTATTGGGAAAGACAATAATGTAATTATCATTACTTATTGGTTTTGAATTTGGGTGTTCAAAGGACTTAATATTTGTTTTAGTTTGTGTAGAGAACGGAGACCTAATGGCATGTTGTTGGTTGAATGCTATATGAGAATACAGAAAGGCCAAACCTTTGGGGTTATTTTAAGTAAAAAAAATGTTGATGCATCACATATAAACATTGGGGCAAAAACCTGGCAGTTATGAATGCAAAATCATTCACAACATAGAACATAAAACATTAACTCACACAACATGATACAAAATCCTAACATTCTAATTAATACAACATTATAATCCACCATCCCATTTGTCAACATAATTCACCTCTCTAACTATCTTCCCCCTTCTCTCTCTCCAAACAAAAATACCCATCTTCCTCTTTTGAAAGCTGCAATTATATAATTGAAAACAATATATAATAACAATAGAAAAGAGTGAACTCAAGATTAATAAAGGCAAAGCAAAATTTAACTGTTCATAGACGAATCAGCGATGAAAATGCGGAGAATCAAATAACAAAGTTTTTTTAATTTCTTCTTGTAGCAATAGATGATCACCAAGCATTACACTCTAACTTTCAGTCAAGCTTAAACGGATATCCTATCTTTCTTTGTAACTCATCTTTCTTTTCATGGATATTAGTTTTTGTTTCTACATTTAAACAAAATGGTAGCTTGCAAAACTCATTTAGCCAAGTTAACAACCATTAACAAATAGCTTCTAGAAAAGATCAAAGTGAATAAGATCATTTCAACCTTTAGCTCGAGAACAATTCATAAAAATCTACCCAAATATGAAAATTCCTGCACCATTCTTTGTGATATTGGAACACAAAATTAAGTTGTTTGATTTCAGGCAACCCTACTTTACCTCTATACATGGAAATGGTCCTATTTATGCTGCATTACACGTTAGCAAAACCATATTAATTGAAAAGATGATCATCAAACCTAGCTAGCTAGTTGAATTATTTGTTAATTAAATGTACTCGTGGCTTGCAAATTGGCAGGCCATGCCAGAGCGAGAGAAGTTGATCATGAGAGCAACTTCAGCGTCGTAGAGGATAGAGAGGTCAAAAGCCTTCTTCAAAAGTCCATTTATGCGTTTGGAGAAGGTAACCTCTTAAGTCTCACAAAAAAATAACACTTTTTCGTTAGCGAAATCTCTTTCCACCGGGAGTTCTAAAAGTTTTTTTTCGTGTAACAAATAAATAATCTGAATTGTTCTAGCATCCTATTTTTTCACCACATAAACAACAAATCACAAATTTAACACTTGCAATGGTATACGAAACCAACCGTAAACGAAAAAGAGAATGTTGAGAAAATAACCCAGATGAAGGCAGCTTTGGAGAGTTTAGAATCCAAGTATGGTATCAACAGCCAATATATGTTCCTTGTAATATCCTTTTATAGATCCCAAAACTAATACAATCTGCACAATCAAATTTCTTGTTATAGCCCAAAGAGAACAATACTCTGTAAGGTAGTGCATCTCAAACATTAAATGAATAATTCAGATAAAATGAAATCACAAAAGAACACAAAAATTTAAAGAAAAATTCTTTATAAATTAGCATCCTGACCGCTTTGGATCCAAAAACTTTTAGCACAGACAGTGCACTGCAATTTATCTAAAATAAAACCCTAAACCTATGAAGGCAACGTCTGTAATTTTTCTTTACTGAGTTATGATAAATAATAAAATCTAGCAATGAAGTTCCACATGCATGTGTCTCTGTATTACATTCTTCTTCTCGCTACTTCTTTTTTATTAGAATTATGTGTTGGTTGTTGCCCGAACATAAATTTCAATTGGTTGGCTTTGAGGGCTGGAAATAATATTTTCCGAGCAAGAAAACAGAGGCAAATAAATAAAACTGTCGATCGAGTGCAAGTTCTATCCTAAGAAATTCTTAAGCCAATGTAATTGGCTTCAAAATTCTTGGTTCTCTTCAGATAAAATTTTGGTTATTGTTTCTCTCTTTCGTGCAAGCTTACACCATTAAAGGAAGCCAGAGATTTTTACCTTTTACCTTCGATCTGAGATCCTCAAGTAGTGTGCTCTACAAGCGGTTCCAGAAAACAAAAAGCACCGTTTCCTGAAAATAAAAGGAAAACTATACCATAAACCCACACTGAGCATCTAAACACATAAACAAATTAGCCAAAATTTGAAAAAACAAAAATTTAAACAAAAGTTGTATCTGCATACCAAAGGCCACCAAAAAAAAAAAAAAAATCTTAACAAAAGACTCGAAGGGAAAAACAAAAAATTGTATACCCTCAGCACAAAAGGGCTACCAACGCCGCACACAACAGCTCCAAAATTTGATGATCAGCGCTTCCTGAAAGAAAAAAACCAAATCAAATTAGACAACCAGACGCAAGATCGAAGCACGCAGACATAACCCCCAAAATCACAAAACAAAAAAAATCCAAAACACAAAATCCAGCTGCAAATCGAAAACCACAAATCTAGAAATTAAACAGGGACGTTGAAAAAGACCTAAAACTCTCAAATGAATTCTTATTCCACATATCCCGCATACACGAACCTAACTTGCCACTGTTCACCACCCCCACTCCTCCCTCTCTTTATCTCCCAGCAATCCCGACAATTTCTCTCACTGTCACCCTCTCCAGGCATGGATTAATAATTACCTCAACAGCTAACGGAGCCAAAGCCAAACTCCAGAGCTTCGAAGGGCAGGATCACAGAAACAGGAATAGTTCTTCTTCCTTCCCCACTGCTGCTGTTGCCACTTTCTCTCTCTAAAAACCAATTGGAAATTGTTTAGAGAGAGAGACAGAGAGGCGAGAGTGATGACTTCAATGATTCAAATTATATTTAAATTATCTTCTTTAGCTCTAAAACAACAAACCCAGAAGCCTAAGGTTGCATGAATGCAAAACTCAAAAATCCAAATTCCAGAGTTATTAAAGAAAAACAGAAATATACGAAAATAAAAAAACCCAAAAGAAATCAAAACATATAATCAATAAATAGTTAATTAATTAATCAAATAAATACAATACCTGAATGCCTCGTTTGAACGACCCGATGCAAGAACTCGATAACCCGTCACAGCAAGACCGGACATTTTAGAACTGACTGCACAGTGAAAGGCCTTCGCCTGTGTGTCATGAGTAGAACAGAGTGAATGATGGTGGTTCTGTGGTGATGTTTCGCCGGAAGCAACAGCAGCACCGCCTGAAGTATCCTTACTGGTCGAAGCAGTAACAGAAGAAAAAGATGAGGTGGAAGACGATGGATATTCATAATCGAAGAGTTCGAAGGGATTTACCTTTAGATTGTTCGGCTTTCAGATGGAGTTTGCTGGTGTGTGGGCCTGCAACTTCGTTTGCAGGCGTGATGTTTCCAAGGAATTTCTCTCGGGCTTACATAGAGAGCAAAGCGAGAGAGAAAGCTCTCCAGATTTTGTGGACTCAAGGCCTGAGTTTGGTTTTTGACAAAAATGGAGGCCATGGTTTCTCAGAGAGATCAGCGAGCTCACATTTTTTAATTCTCAGAGAGAGAAAACTCTCGACCTTTTGCAGAAGGGGAATTGTGTTTTGTCGAGGTTTTGAGTTGTAGTGGACCTAACGAAGGGAGATGAGAGAGAGAGGTGGAGCGGCTAGGGTTTGAGTATGGAAGAGATGAAAACTGGAGAGAGCACTTGTTTTGGCTGAAGCACTGCTCACACACGGGGATCAAAAGTCGAGAGATTCAGTGGCAGTGTTGTAAATAAACTGAAATGTGGTCCAAAACACTGTTCATTTCTACAGTGCAATTTTGCCAGCTTCTTTAGACTAAAGTAATTGTTCGTTTTTGCCAATAGCTCATTGTTTGCTTTTGCCAACAGCTACAACTAAAACTCCATAACAATATGCAAGAGAGAGGTATGAATCCGAGTTATCAAAAATAGAATATGAATTGTTTTAGCAGATAAGTTGGATACAAAGAATTATTTTAAATAAAATGTCTATATTACTGAACCCTTTAGTTTAACATTTATCTGCCGGAATAGACGAAAATGATAATTTTTATTGAATAAAATGAGACAAAACCAATTTTAAATGGTAAAACGAGACTAATGGCAGTTTTTGAAACCGCCAATTCTTCTTTATTTGCTGCCTTCAATGGACGATTTAACTTTCCAACTTTAAAAAACGTTCATGTCAGTACATAACTGACTTTCTCTTTTTCCTATTCAAAGCGATCTCATGACTTTCCTTCTTGGGACATCCAATCAAATGGGATCCCATGACTGAACCTTCACACGTTTGCCATTTTCCATATTTTACCACATTTATGTTTCCTGCAAGCGACATTTTCATCTTTTGGAAATAACAGTCTCCCAATCTCTCGTATTAAAAGATAAATTACTCTACATAATTACATACATGTATACAGTTAGTGTTTCTCTCTAAAACTGACAATCCGTTTTTCATGTCGATATCGTTGCGGTTAACAAATTATATCGATAATATTAGTAACGTTATTAATAACAACATAAGTGGCGCGATAACTGTTGTATCGACAAGACTCAGATAAGATAGAGCCATACCAATTTATTGAAAATTAATACCGTGACAGTGATGCAGTCTATTTTTTGTCTGAAACACTCTAACTCCTTGTCCCCAAAAACAAAGTGCCAACTGCCAACCCATCAAAAAAGGGTGACAAACACAAACTTGCTAATCATGCTTCCAGATATTTTCATTTCCTCTGTCATTCATTTGGGTTTGGCATTTGCATTACTTGTCATGGACTGTTAACTTCACAACCACCAAAAGCTACCAGCCTTCCTTCCTTTAATTCTCTCCCTCCTCCTTCAACGGTTACTTTCCCCTTCCTCCCATTCAATGTCCCTCTAACGGCTCTCTCTCTCTCTCTCTAACCCTCCATTTTCTCTCGTTTTATTTCCATTCCTATCTGATTTTCCACTACTTCTGTGCATCAGTGCATGCTCTCTCGCTAGAACTTTCACTCCAAAGTGCTTAGAGAGAGAAAAAGCTTGAATCTTTGGGAGTTTAGAGAAAACCCCAGATGGACCTCGCTTCGTTCTTGACGTCCTTGGGGACCTCCTTCCTCATATTTGTGGCTCTGATGCTTTTGTTCTCATGGCTTTCGAGAAAGCCTGGAAACACTGTGATTTACTATCCGAATCGGATCTTGAGAGGGTTGGATCCATGGGAGGGCGGGTCCATGACCCGGAACCCGTTTGCTTGGATCAAGGAGGCTCTGTCTTCCACCTGAGCAGGAAGTTATATCCATGTCAGGGGTCGACACTGCTGTGTACTTCGTGTTCTTGAGCACTGGTTTGTTTGTCTCTCTGTCCTTTTAGCTTTTTGACTGTTCTCGAATTTACTTTTTGGTATTTTTGTCTCTTTTGTTTTTTACCATGTTACTGTTTCTGGGGTTTGTTCTGTTTGCTGAAAAGTTCGGAATTGGTAGAGCTTTGTGGTTGTTTTTGCTGGATGGTCCGATTTGGAAGTCTACTCTCAGATCGCTAAGTTTTTACTGCTGTAAATTTGGATAGTTTGAATTTCTTGAGATTGGCATTGGAAAAGTTAATTTCTTTCTAGCTTTGAGAAGTGAATTTCTGGAGATTTTAGGATGATTTCGACGTTTCGAATAATACTTATCTTAACAAGGAGTGTGTTACCAGTTTTACTTCTTGTGATGATCTTGTTTCCTTGTTCTGGTATAACAGTATGCAATGCTTGGCCTAATTTATAAAGTCAGAAACCTCGAGGTTCTAACTTTCCTATTTGATGTGGCAGTGTTGGGTATATTGGTTTTGTCTAGCCTTGTTCTGCTACCAATTCTTCTGCCAGTTGCTGCCACCGAAGTCGGGCAGAAGTTAACCAACGCAACCATAAGCAATGGCACTTTCAGTGACCTTGACAAGTTATCCATGGGACATCTCAAGGTAAGCTGTGAAACATTTTCATGAAACGTCTTGGTTTTGTTCTTCTTTTCCCATGGATCTGCGGCTGCCGCGGTTTTTCGTATAATCCTCTCAAATGAATTGTCTTCTGAGTGCTGATTGCGTTTGTGTTGTCTTTCTGTATGTACAGGAGAAGAGTCCTAGGTTGTGGGCATTTCTCTTGGGTGTCTACTGGGTTTCTTTCGTCACGTATTTCTTGCTGTGGAAGGCATATAAACATGCCTCCAACCTGAGAGCCACTGCTTTAATGTCTCCTCAAGCGAAGCCTGAACAATTTGCCATTCTTGTCAGAGACATACCTAACTCCCTCGAAGGTCAAATTAGGAAGGAACAGGTCGATTCTTATTTCAAGACCGTCTACCCTGATACATTTTACAGATCATTGGTTGTCACAGACAACAAAGAGGTATGGTTTTTTCGCCCATTTCTCCTCATTTTGTGCCCTTGTTAACTGTTAACGTATACAGGGAATCGTTGTTTAGGTAATATGATTGTTTGACGGTGTGTTTTTTTTTTAGTATTACTATTTATCTGCCAATCATGTTAAGTTAATTCCTATAGGTGGACAAAATTTGGGAAGAGTTGGAAGGGTTTAAGAAGAAGCTTGTACGCGCTGAAGCAGTCTATGCATTATCGAAGAAAGCTGGCAACTCAGAAGGAATAAGACCCACTAACAAAACCGGTTTCCTTGGTCTTTGTGGGGCAAAAGTAGACAGTATTGAGTACTACACGGAGAAGATTAATGAATTAACCCCGAAACTGGAGGCTGAACAGAAAGCCACTCTCAGAGAGAAGCAGCAAAATGCTGCACTGGTTTTTTTCACCAGTAGGGTGACTGCAGCTGCTGCAGCTCAGACTCTACATGCCCAACTTGTTGACACATGGACAGTCACCGATGCTCCTGAGCCTCGTCAAGTACTTTGGCCTAATCTCAAAATCAAGTTTTTTCAGAGACAGGTGCGGCAGAATGTTGTGTATATCATCGTGGCTCTGACTGTAGTGTTTTATATGATTCCAATTGCTGCCATCTCTGCATTCACAACTCTGGACAACCTGAAGAAACTTCTTCCATTTCTAAAGCCAATTTTGAAGCAAGATGCGATTAGGACAGTGCTGGAGGCTTATCTACCTCAAATTGCACTCATAGTCTTTCTAGCTATGTTGCCAAAGTTCCTTCTGTTTTTGTCCAAGGCTGAGGGAATTCCTTCCCAGAGCCATGCAATAAGGGCTGCTTCCGGGAAATACTTCTACTTCACTATCTTCAATGTTTTTCTTGGAGTTACGGTAGGTGGAACCTTATTCAGTACATTCAAGACCATCGAGAAGGATCCTAACTCTCTTGTTGACATTACTCGCAACTAGCCTCCCTGCCAATGCAACTTACTTCCTCACCTTTGTGGCCCTAAAGTAAGTAACAGTTTGCGTCTTCTAGCTCTTCATTTCCTACCAAGAACCGAAACAAGATTGCAAAATACTTTACCGTTTGTCCACACGATCTAAATCATGTCTTTATTATTGAACTGATTTTTGTGATACGCGTTGATGACAGGTTTTTCGTTGGATATGGTCTTGAACTGTCCCGACTAGTTCCTCTGATCATTTTCCATATAAAGAGGAAGTACCTCTGTAAGACCGAAGCTGAGGTGAAAGCAGCTTGGCTTCCCAGTGATCTTGGATACGGGACTAGAGTACCTAGTGATCTGCTCATCATTACGATTGTCCTCTGCTACTCTGTTATTGCTCCACTGATTCTTCCATTTGGTGTGCTGTACTTTGGTCTTGGATGGCTTATCCTTCGAAATCAGGTATCCTCCAGTCTTTTTCGAGCTTGCCAGTTTCTAGTCAAAAAACTTTACTGACTCAAAGTAAACATATGCGTTCGAAAACTAAAGGTTTTGTTGTTTCATTGAGCAGGCACTCAAAGTTTATATTCCAGCATACGAAAGCTATGGAAGGATGTGGCCGCACATGCAAATTCGAATCATTGCATCTCTGATATTGTACCAAGTTACCATGTTTGGTTACTTTGGGGTGAAGAGATTCTACTATGCACCATTCTTAATTCCACTTCCTATCATGTCCTTGCTTTTCAGTTTCATCTGCAGCAAGAAATTCTACCGGTTTTTCCAACACACCGCGCTTGAAGTAGCTGCACACGAACTCAAGGAAATTCCGAACATGGAGCAAGTTTACAGAGCTTTCATCCCACCAAGCCTGAGCTCCGAGAAGATAGACGATGATCAATTTGAAGACGCTCAATCTAGTGTTTCGAGAACAGCCTCGTTCGCCTAATGTGTGACAGTCTTGTGCAGTTAGAAGTGATTTAGTTTGGGTTTGGAGTGTCATCTGTTTATATAACATGTGATTAGGAACATTGCAGATATGTATGCACTGCAGAAGATCCGTCTCGTCCTTTGGATTTCATGAATTAATCTGTTAAATTGTTGTTTCCTATTTATTTACCACTCTGCAAACTATGCTCTTTCTTGTTTATTAATGCAATGTTGCTTCCAATTGACTTACGTTTTGTTTATTAACAATTAACTGAAAATGGTGAAACTTAAAAAAAAAAGTCTTTTGGATATGAGTTTAGAAATATAACGCAAGTATATTTTTGTCTACTCCTTCTTGTTACCTTTTCTCTCCGATTTAAAGATTCTCCTTTTTTTCTATCGCTTCCTTTTTCGCTTCTCTTTTTAACCCAAAATCCAAAATTTTCCTACTCTCTCTAAAACTCATTGTTTTCATTGACTCATTAGAAAACCATAAAGTTTAGTGGAAGAATCGGACTCAAGTTGTTGTTTGTGTTTTCATACATTTTCCAAACAAATTTGGAGCTTTGATGTTGGTTAAAATTTAATTGAAATAAAAAAGAAAAAGTTAAAATCTGTTGAATAATATGTAATTTGGAGTCCGCTCGTACCTTATTTGATACCACATGAGAGAGCAGCGTACTTTAGTCTCTGATTAAACGGTACGCCAAAGCAGAGCTGGTGACCCTAAAAAGTACGTCGTAAAAGTTCAAACTTGAATTCGAACTCCAATGGGGAGGATTCGCTTCCCCCTAACCAATTATTTGTTTTGATAGAAAATTACTGAGAAAAAAAAAAACCCAATGTGGAGAAAAAAAATCAAATATAATTTGAAAATAAAAGTAAAAAAGCAAGGCAGACTCAGAAAATTGCTCTGCTCTCAGTTCATAACTTCGTAGTTCTCAGTTGGCGCCTCAGACCAAAAACCCCAAAACCCTCCCATGAAACATTTCAAATCCCCTCCCTTTGTCTGAACCTCCAAAAACCCACCTGAAACCCTCCGCCAACTAATCAATGCCGCCTCCAGCTTCGGCGACGCCGCCGGAGATGGTGCTCCACAACCGCTTCTTAGGGTTCCTCATATGGCAATCCATCCCCTCCACCGTCATCTTCTTCCTCTTCAAAACCCTCTCATCAGTCGTCTCCTCCGCTTCCCCCTCCGCCGACAAGCCCCCATTCACATTCCCGTTCGCCCCATCGATATTTGCCCTTATTACGTTTTTGACCTTCCACCTCTCCCAGCTCCTCTTCTCCTTCTCACTCTCCCTCGTCGCCTCGCCACACCCCCACCGCCCCGCCTCTCTTCTCCAGCTCGCTCTCGGGCTCGTTCGCTTCCTTTTTGTACCGGGTGGCTCCGATTCGTCGGAGACGGCCGATTCCCGTGCCCGGGCTAAACTTTCGGTGCGTTTCCTGATGTTTTTGGGCGCGGCGGCGGTGTCGGGGTTTGTTTCGGTGGCGTCGTTGTGTGGGGGGTTTGGCGATGGGGTTTCTGCGATTGGGAGAGTAGGGTTTAGGGGTTTTATGATGGGTTTGCTTTATGGGCTGTACTATGTGTATAATCGCAGGTGGGTCTTGGAGTTTCCCATTATTCAGGTCAGTTTTTGGCTACCTTTATACAAAGTTTGAATCTTTCTCTGTGTAATTTGATGTTACATGATGTGTATTGTGTGTTAACAAAAGAGAAATGCATTGCTGAAATATGTAGGAGCCTAGAAATGAAGGAAACCCCTCGTCAATTGATTGAAAGTACAGTTTTTGCTTTTACGCACGAGTGTTCAATCATATTTCGATAGATTATGTTCTGCCCTAGACATCTAGGCTGGTTACGGTAGTAGTCAGATGTTTCTGAAATGTAGAGCTCAAAGGTGGTGAAAAGAAAAGAAAAAGAAACTATTGAAGTTTTCCTATAAGTTCTAAATCGTGTCAATAGCGCTGTTGAAGTATGATGAAACCCTGTCTGTCATTGTGTCCTTGGAGCTCTCTGGTTTTTCCATTTATGGTGTATATGGTATGAGCGGGGCATGTGTATGTGTGTGTATAGAATTCATCTTCTTTGTTTAGGAGATCCGATCACCACGGTGGGTTAATTGTTCATCATAATTCTTGTTATCTTGAATCAGGGTCCTGGCCCAATTCTCTCTACTTCTTTTTTGCTGGTTTGCAATACATTGTGTGTGTAAGCATGTTACCGGTGGAGATTTGAGACTGCTGTTTGCACTCATTTACTAAGTTTTCTCATAAGAAATTGTTTGCCTACTTTGGATATTCTCATGTTGCCTTTTGCTTTCTGCTTACACAAATCATGGCTCTGACTCTAATTGTTTATATCAACAGCGTCCTCCCTTTTTCAGCTTCAAAATGGGGCTTCCTTCAGCTATCACACGATCCTTGCAGCTTTCCTTTGTTGCGTACCTGTTTTCAGCTGCACTGCTAGTGTTTCTGCCCCACCACATTCAGAACCAGACTACAACTGGAAAGTTTATTGCCGAGCAGATCAGGTTTTACATTGGGAGTTTCTTAGTGTTTCTCTGCTGGGAACTAAGTCACCATTTACATCGGGTTGGTTCTTTAAACATATTAACATGGTTGTTAATTTTCATTTTTGTTAATACTACTGCATGTTGTTGAAAGAAGCATTGCATTTGCAGATCAACTAAAATACCTATTTGAATGTTCATTTTCTTGCCAGTTCTTGACAACATCAATAGTACATATGAGCGTATCTTTATGATTATTTGAATGAGTGCCTGGTATGTGGAACTTTTGTGAATGTTTTGTAACCCCTTCAAGTGCTCTTCATTGGTGCCCGTCCCCGTACAGTTATAAGAGTGAATGTAACGTAGAAGTAACAGAAGTCATGAGTGGAATAAACTAGAGCCTCATGCAGCATAGGCCTGCTCAATGATGCAGAATATTTCTTCCAAATGTTAGAACCAGTCGCAGAAGTTTTGTATACAATTTAAACCTAATAGCTAGATTGAGTATTTAATGCTAGTAGCATTTGATGGAATTTCATACAACTTAGCTACTTTTTCTTCTTTTCGGATGTGAACTTAACTGCTTAATGACACTAGAAAACTTACAACTTGGTCATATACCATGCTATATGGCATACTTATAAACCACACAGCTTGATCTCTTGTTAAAGAATCTGAATACTTGGTGCTATTTGTTTGCTATAACAAATTTCTGGATCAATTGAGTCAGTTTTCATGTTCATATTCTATGCCCCTTCCTTTTATAGTTAACCATCTAATTTGAAATCTTTATTGTTTGAAATTGTGTTGTAATGTAGCTGCTTCACACAAAGAGATTCGTATTTGCGCCACCTAAAGGATCAGCAGCAGCAGAAACAAATCCAAGTGAGATTCTCCTTGCAGCTCTGGAGGAGAGCAGTCCTAATTCTCTTCTTCAGTATCTTGCATATCTTGATCTCTGTATGGTTTGCGAGAATAATGTGGATGCTTGGAGAAGAGCTGCATTTTTTGAGGAAACTGGTGAAACGTACAAAAGAGTTATATCTGTATGCTTGCGGCCTCTGGAGCAGCTTGCATCAAAGCTAGGTGAAGGCTTGGAAAGTTCCATTGAAAACGGCTCCCAAATATCCAATCAGTTACTGTCCCCAACTGACAACCGACTAGACTCAAAATACTCTGAAGCCTTGAATAACTTCCAGGTAAACAGATCAATTCTTAACCATACTCGTGGATATATCTTACCTGTCTGTGTGTCTTACTACTTCGTTTAGACGAACTGTGAACTAACATATCATCTATGGAGTAATATTAATCTACCATTCTCCAGTAGTACTTCTATCTGAAATTCTAACAATTTATTTTAGTATTGTTCTCTGGTTATGGACCAGGGCAATAGCTCTTAGATTGGTACAGTGGACTTTGTCGCCTAAAAAGCCTAATATATAGTATATATATATATATATATATATATATTTTTTTTTTAATGCAGCTATATGCATGGTGTGCGTGGACAGCTGCCTCACTGACTGCATGCTCACTCAAAGAGGACAGATATGGGGTTGCCCAGATCTCTGGTAGTAATGCTGCTGTAATGTCCACACTGATTTCTTGCCTTCTTGCTGTTGAAACATACATGGGGAAGAAGACCACTTTGCAGTCTGCTAATCAGTTCATGGGGTCAACTGGTTTTAAATTGAGAAACTCGAGCATGGCTAATACTGGCACAAGCAAAAAGAGAGCCGGCCCGCTTCATTCAAAAGCATATGCTGTTGCTGATGTTCTGAGGAACTCGATCTACCAGATTGTGTCTGCTTTCCATGATCAGATGGCAAGCAGTGCTAAAAAGGGCTTTCTTGACAAGGATTGGATCATTAACAGCAAGCCTCCTTTCGGACCACGCGAACTTCTTGTGCAGAAACTGCGTCTATTCCTTGACTTTCGAGCCAGCTAAGTTCTTGTTAATTTTTCCGGGATTCAAGCCTCTTCCTTTAATCATTGAACTTGCTTGCGGCATGCATACAAAGAGCTGGTTTTGTTTCTTAAGCCTAAAAATGACTGGTGGATGGGATGAGCTGAAGGACATAATCCCCATTTATTACAAAGAGATATCATATTTGGATCCTATAAATTAAGTTGTATGGTTGATAGGAAGCACTTGCATCGACTGTTTTACCGAAATCAAAAATTTCCAGTTTACTTCGTGTTATCGCGTATTAAACTCTGCTAGTTGGATTAAATTGGATTAAGTTGGTAGGAAATCAAAAATATTTCCCATGTTTTACTTTGTTCTTATTGCTTAATATACAGTGCGAGTTGGATTAAGTTTGGTTAAGAAATTAGGGTATGGCCTGGATCAAATTAGTCTTGCTTTACTCAAACTATGCTAGCATGTCAACTAATTAATTTTTGTATTTCTGGCCCTCTTTGCTGGGATGATGATTTCAGCAAATAAAAAGTTGGCAAAAAGGAACGACTTTTCGCTTTCTTTTTTTCCTTTTTTTTTTTTTTTTTAAGTACGTTGATATTTTTATACTAAAGAAGAGATAGTTTGACTAAACAACACAATGAGTAGTCTAATTTGGTGTTGAATTCACCATACACGAGATTCGAACCTAAGACATCTCACTTTTAAGTGAAAATAAATACTACTAGATCATAGTACTAAGTCACTTATATTTTGTTTGTTTGGCTTAACTGTTCGTGTCAAGTGCAATAACAATAACTAAAAATTGGGTCCACGAGTTTACAAATTTATTTTCGTCAAATTAGTTTTATTTTTTACGGATTCAAATTAGTGTTTTATGTATTTACACTCCAAAAATGTTAATGGTGGAATAAATACGAGGTAAAAGAGTGCGTCAAGACTTTATACTGGTACAAGAACAATTTCTATTTTTGTTATTTGAGTTTAGTCATATGATAGATCATTGTTAGTGAATTACACAATAGTGGCCAAAAAGAGGCTGAAATGCTTCTGTAAACCTTCTCGACCTCCATAAGGATGAATTGATGTGACAAGGTCACTAGCTGGTCTCCTTAAAAAAAAAAAATCTAATAGATCATAGCTAGATATCAAACTTATCATCTTTATATGAGATAATGAGAGTTTAACTTGGCACTTCCATTTTAAAGTAAAAAAATATATCAATAAATTGTAATTCTAGCGATTTATTTACGACGAGCTATGTGTGAACATAAATACTACATGTAATGTCATAATTGTCTAGTTGTCTCTAGTCATTGATTGCTATAGACTTAGAGCTCGTTTGAATGTATTTTTAAAATGACTGAAAACGCTTTTAGTAAAAATATTTTTGAAAACAATTCTTAGTAAAAATGCTAGTAAATCCTGGAAAAGCACTTAAGGTGCTTTTGGAAGAAGCACATAATTGGCTTCTCGTAAAAAGCACTTAAAGTGCTTTTAGAATCCAAAAATATTTTTTCTAAAAACACTTTTAGTCATTTTAAAAGCACGTTCAAACGAGACCTTAGACATTTTGTGGATGAGACTTTTTGTGAATCAACTTTTGATTCTTAAATTAAATTATTGGTAACATTTTATCCTCTTGATGATGATTATAAAATTGCACTTTACATTTTTTTTTTATTATGAATGAGTATAAAATTGCACTTAACAAACCACAAGCAACATATGATTTCAGAATTCGCGGGCATGTGCTTTAAATTCTAAACTCCTCAATCTCTTAAACAATTGTAATAGTTTTGAACTTCTTTTTAATAATAATCAATTAAAAAATATATGATTTTAGAATTGACATGTTCTTTTTTTTTAAAAAAAAAAAAAAAAAAAAATCTAAACAAAGACATCTCAAGTCGATTCTTACGAACAAAACTATATAAACAAGAAAGATTATCAAAATAAAAATGATTAAGTTCAAGATTATATTCCGCTAAATTATCGTGGTAAAATTAGAATTCCCGTTTTATAACAAAAAATTCGCGTTTATAGGAAGTACCGAGGAAGAGGTGTGAAAACTGAACTGATTCCACCACTACGTGTTGAAAGTCCAATAGGTTCAATTAGGTCATTACGTACTTCTTCCCCATGACTAATCGTTGTCCCAAAATTTAAGGTTAACATGATCTGCCGATTTATATCCCTCGTTGTTTCAAACAATTACCAATGCCACTGCATCATTTGGGGAGTGGCAGTCTTGATAATTTCTCCATGAGCAAGGTTAACCTTGAAGAGGTTAGGAGAGTTGGGTTTCCCAGCATGTGAACTTGTCTCCATCGACAAGAACAAGTCTAAATAAAATACAAATGGTCAATCAAACACTGCGTAATTCCATGTTTTAGTCTTTGTCCCACGCGTGACACATTCATTTTTTCTTGTATATAATTCATCCCTCGATCCCTCGTATTCTAATTTCCAATTACTCCAAAATTCTGAGCCCTCTTTTGAACTCGTCGGAGTTTATAGCTTCAGCGGTAGAACGCTCGTCCTATCTTCCGGCCGTGTGTTTAGAAATTTGAGCTGGAGGCAACCATGGCGCTATCAACTAAGATGTACACCCATCTTCCGGCCAGTCAAGCCGCTGCCAGTACAACCCGGTTTTCCCTAATCCGGGCTAGCCATCATCAAGAAGCTGTTCTTGATCATCCCCATCAAACCAAGACATCAAACAAAGCCAACCGTTTAGCTGAATCGCTAGCCAACCTCCTCCACCTCCACATAGATACTCCTCAAAGAACCAACATTCACCCTGCTAATTGGAATATGATCACAGAAGAGAGCCATTCAACTCCCACTACTTCTCCGAAAGACAACATATCCGAAAAATGGCGCGAAATCCACGGGTCAAATGATTGGGAGGGTCTTTTGGACCCTCTCCACCCTTGGATAAGAAGAGAGATTGTCAAATATGGTGAGTTTGCACAAGCAACGTATGACGCTTTTGATTTCGATTTCTTCTCCGAGTACTGCGGGAGCTGCAGGTACAACAAAAACAAGCTTTTTGATGTGTTGGGTCTAGACAAAAATGGCTACAATGTTAGCAAGTACATTTATGCAATGTCACACATCGACATGCCGCAGTGGCTGGAGAGGTCACACTTGGCTGACACATGGAGCAAGCATTCCAACTGGATGGGGTATGTTGCCGTGAGCGACGAGGAGGAGACTAGGAGGATTGGGAGGAGGGACATTGTGGTGGCGTGGCGGGGGACCGTGGTGCCATCGGAGTGGTATGAGGATATGCAAAGGAAATTGGAGCCAATTGGGGGTGGAGATGCCAAAGTGGAACATGGGTTCCATGGGATTTACACTGCCAAGAGTGACACCACAAGGTACAACAAGTCTAGTGCATCAGAGCAAGTCATGAAAGAAGTGACTAGGCTTGTGGAGTTGTACCAAAGCAAAAGGTGAAGAAGTGAGCCTTACAATCACAGGGCATAGCTTGGGAGGTGCATTGGCTTTGGTCAATGCCTATGAAGCTGCCGAAAAACTCCCTGGCCTTCCGATAAGCGTAATTTCCTTTGGCGCCCCTAGGGTTGGAAACATTGCCTTCAAGGAAGAGCTACACCAAATGGGAGTCAAGACATTGAGGGTTGTGGTTAAACAAGACATGGTTCCAAAAATGCCGGGGCTTGTTTTGAATGAGAGTCTTCAGAAGTTTGATGACATTACGGGCACATTGGATTGGGTTTACACACATGTTGGGGCTGAATTGAAGCTCGAAGTTGGTTTTTCGCCTTATCTCAAGCGTGGTGGGTTCAATCTGCCAGGGTTTCATAGCCTCGAGACCTACCTCCATCTTGTGGATGGGTTTTTGAGTACAGAAACTACTTTTAGGTCAAATGCTAGGAGGGATATTGCCTTGGTGAACAAGGGATGTGACATGTTGGTGGATGATCTTAGAATTCCACAATGTTGGTACCAATTGCCACACAAGGGTTAGTAAGAAACGCTCATGGGAGATGGGTTAAACCGAAACGAGACCCTGAAGACATACCTTCACCTGCAAGAGAAGCACAAGCGCAAGCTCATGCTCTTCAATTAGAGATGATGCAACCATCATCAGATTATATACTTGAATCTTTTATGTAGTGCTTAATTAACATGTAAATTTTGACAGTTGATTAAGAACTTGAATGTTTGGCCTACTTGTTTACCTTGTTTTTTAAGCATTCTCCAAAACTGCTTCGATTCCTTGACTTTCGAGCCAGCTAAGTTCGTATTAATTTTACCGGGATTCAAGCCTCATCCTTTAATCGTTGGAGGGACTTGCGGCATGCATACAAAGAGCTGGTTTTGTTTATTAACCCTAATAATGACTGGTGGATGGGATGGGAAAATTTTTAGGTGTTCCGGGTACACCAAAAAATTTTGGTGTACCCACACTCATTAAAATTTGATTTTATTATTTTATTGAAAAAAAAGTGAAGGTAGGGTCCACCATTATGAGTGAGGGTACACCAAAATTTTTTGGTGTACCCGGAACACCCAAAAATTTCTCGATGGGATGAGCTGAAGGACATAATCCCCATTTATTACAAAGAAATATCAAATTTCGATCCTATAAATTAAATTGTATGGTTGATAGGAAGTTTTTGCATGGACTATTATACCGAAATAAAAAATTTCCTGTTTACTTTTGTGTTATCGCCTATTAAACTCTACTAGTTGGATTAAATTGGATTAAGTTGGTAGGAAATGAAAAATATTTCCCGTTTACTTTGTTCTTATTGCTTGTTATACACTGGTAGTTGGATTAACTAGTTGGATTAAATTGGATTAAGTTGGTAGGAAATGAAAAATATTTCCCGTTTACTTTGTTCTTATTGCTTGTTATACACTGGTAGTTGGATTAAGTATGATCAAGAAATTAGGGTATGGCCTGGGTCAAATTAGTAATGGTTTACTAATTTTCAGTCAATTTATTTTTTGGTCAAATCGCTTTTGCTTTCTTGTTTTATTCGTTTGGCTGTACATTTGTAAACCACAGTGAGAAACACTTAAAAGAATCAAACTATAGAAAAAAAAATCTCGCTAATTAACTTTTAGTGCTGGCGGCAATAACAGTAACTAATAATTAGGTCCACAAGTTTACAAATTTATTTCTTTTTATTAAATTAGGGTTATTTTTTTTTTTATCAGAAGCAAACTAGTGCTTTTGTATTTACAATCCCAAAAAGTATCATGTATTCCTCAATAGTGAAATAATATGAGGAAGAGGAGTGCGT